AAGTTACAGATTAGATCCAACCAATATGCATTAGCCATCAACCGAACACAAGCCTATTTTTTCAAATATCATCGCCAGTGGGATTTGAACTCTAGACCTGCCACTTGGAGAAGGTGACGACTAGACCACTACACTAAGTCGCCACATCTCCTTACATTACATATATATAATATATATAATTATATATATATATATAATATATAACTTAAGACTTGTGAGTTGATAGTATAGTGGTTATACTCCCAGGTTGCAAATCGGATAATTGCTAGTTCAATTCCTCCCAACGGCGAATTAATGAAAATTCGAAAATGGAAGTAAAACACCGTGGGGTATAGGATATCTACGGATAGATGTATTTAAGAAATAGTTATTCCAAGAAGTTGTAGCTGTAAAGTGAGGTGTGTTAGAACCCCAATTTGGATTAACCAAAGTCACGAGACATAATGTGAGGCCGAGTTTGATAAAGATACTACAAGAACTTGTGGTGACACCAGATTGGCTAGTAAAATCCCAGTACAATAGAAAGATAATCCGACATCTTTGAACGTTGGTGCAGGCGGTCGAATCCGGGTACCCAATGTGGTACCAGAGGTCCAGGCCAGGTCTTGTGCAAAAAGCACGCAGTAACTAGTCTTCAGGTTGGGTATATAACTGGAGGGGTCATATGGTTATAGCAGGACTTGCCGAAGGAAAAAAAAAATACATATATATATATATATATATATAACTTAAACTTATATTAAACAATTATAATTTTATATTTAACTAAATTTGTTTAAAATATTATTATATGCCGTAATAATGTATTTTTTGGTGCTGAACAAGTTTACTTATAGCTCAAAGTCATACTTTATTAATAATATTTTGAGTGATACAAGATTTTCTATATTTTTATTAATAAAAATATAAAACAATTATCATAAACTAAAATTTTACCAATAAAATAGGCTTTTACGTTCTAAGTAAACTTGTTTAGCACCAAAAAATACATTATTACGGCATACGTTTTCTTTACTTTTCTTAATTTGTAAAGTAAAGATGTATAAATTTGGTAAATTTTCATCAAAAATGCAATTTTACACATCTTAATTTACAGATTAAGAAAAGTAAAGCAAACATATGCCGTAATAATGTATTTTTGATGCTGAACAAGTTTACGTAGAACGTAAAGGCATATTTTATTAGTAAAAAATTAGTTTATAATAGATTTTCTATATTTTTATTAATAAAAATATAGAAAATTTATTGTAACCTAAATTTTTACTAATAATATATGCCTTTACGTTCTAAGTAAACGTGTTTAGAATCAAAAAATACATTATTATGGCATATGTTTGCTTTACTTTTCTTAATCTGTAAATTAAGATGTGTAAAACTGCATTTTTGATAAAAATTTACCAAATTTATACATCTTCACTTTACAAATTAAGAAAAGTAAAGAAAACGTATGCCGTAATGATGTATTTTTTGGTGCTAAACAAGTTTACTTAAAACGTAAAAGCCTATTTTATTAGTAAAATTTTAGTTTATGGTAATTTTTATTAATAAAAATATAGAAAATCTTGTATCACTCAAAATATTACTAATAAAGTATAACTTTGAGCTCTAAGTAAACTTGTTCAACACCAAACAATACATTATTACAGTATGTATTTGTATCTTATATAAGTTTATTAGAGGCTCAAAGGAATAATTAATTAGTAAAACTATATATATATATATATTATATATATATATATTTAAATCAGCCAATTAGAATTGTCTTATGTAGAGAGAGGGGGTACTCTCATAGTAAATAGATATTATGTAATATCTGTCACGGCCCTAATAGTAATATATAGTTAAATTCTTAATATAATATTATAGTCAAAAAAACTCTTCCCGATGATAATTTGGCACACAACAACAACAGCAGATTAAAGCTGTTTAAGAGTGAAAATATAGCCAAGAACATTATTAAACACTTTAAAAAGTGTTTAAAAGGTACTGTAGACATTAATTTAGCAGTATTAAAAAGACATCAATAAGTAGTTAGCGATTTGGAGAGAAGAAGCTTAATTTTTAAGTTTTTTATAATCGCTTGTTAACAAGATACTGAAAATGCAAGATCAACCTAACGTAGTGAAAGTTAATACAATAGTGAAAAAAAGCAAAGTAGATTTGTGAAAAAGAGTTTTTTATTGCTTTAAAGAAGTATACATCGGCTCTAGCAATACATAGATAGAACTTTCTTGCTTATTTTAAGTTTTAGAGAAAACATTACTAACTCTGTAGTGTAGATCCTTTGTATAACACAAATTGCCATGTAAAGGTACATTGTTATGCACAAGCTATTCCAGAAATCTGATACGTAAAAACACATTAAACTACAAAAAAATACGTCAAAATCATGTGGTATTGGAGTTACAAGATAGAGTTAGCAACAAGAAGTAACAAGTTGAAAAGAGATAAACAGAAAACACATAATATTCAAGATAGTGATTGCAAGAAATGCCGTCACTTGCAGAATATAAAAACTTCTTTAAAAAGTCAGAAGAGAAGAAATTAGAGCTCTACAAAGCACAAAGTACAACAGTACTAAAGGAAGATATACATGTTGCAGAATATCTAGGTGCAAGTGATAGTTATTTAATAGCAATTATACATAATGTCTTAAATAGGTATAAATGGGTACAGAGTAGAAAGAGCAAACAAGATGTGATCTCAGACAAAGAAAGAACATTGCTAGGACTAAACACAAAGGCTAATGAGCCTCATTTTGAAAAAGAGCAAAATAAGTTGGTGCCTGCAACTATGGAGATCAGTTATGACAAGCCGGTCGTGTTGACAACTGATTATGGTAAAAAGGTGCAAAAGAATAACCAAGATTGTGCATGCAAATGAAGTTTGTCAAAACACGATGATACAAATAACACTGATAAATTGGCTATTGAGCTAGAAAAAATTGCATTGGTCCAAAACGAGGTTGGTATTATCGATTATAGGATAAAAGAGCAATTGGCCAATAAGACAAATGATACCAATCAATGAATAGAGAATAAAAAGATCAAAAAGCATGAGGATATTTATAATTCAGCATGGGCGCCAAAGGGAGAAGTTAACTTGGAAAAAATCACAAATAAGATATACTACTTCTTCACATTGTGGGATCTCCTGAAAAAAATAAGCGCAGATGAAATTAAAAATTTTCTTGAGTTTTACGAGAGTGCTAAAGTTCTAGACTAGCAATATAGTTTTAAAACTAAAGCAGCATTTATTAGTATTAAAATAAGTATTAAAGAGTAAGAAAATTCTTTACGGGAAAGCTGGGCAATTCATTTAGATCAAGGTAAATTGTACAGAGTAACACAAGAGAAATTTGATATTATGAAGTTAGAAGACAGAAGCAAGTTTAAAAGTGTAATTTACAATGTACCAAGTACAGCATTTAATAGCCTCATGCTTTGACAGTTAAGAAACCACAAAGTACACACAGTCCATACTCTGAGTAATAGTAATAGTAATCAGAGTAGAAAAGCGCTATTGTATTTTGAAAATAAAGAAGATCTAATGAAAGCACGAAGTTCAAGTTTGTATTATTTTAATACAAAGCTAGAGTAGAACTTTCCTGACACAGAGGTAGAAAATAGAAGAGTTACAAGTTCAAAATATTATAGTGAGCATAAAAAGTTTCTAAGTAATAGAAGAAAATATGATTTCAATGAAACAGTCTCAATCAAAAAGCCAAGTACAGACAAAAGGCTGAAAAGACCTAACAATACTGTTAGAGAAAGTAAGCGTCTTTGCGGTAGTAAAGGCAGTTGGGTTAAGCAAAGAATACCTAAGAATGAAATGGTATATGATAAGGAGAATTTAAACCTCAAAGCTACATGTTTTGCATTGGGTTCAAAAGGTAAAGCAGTAGAGAAGAGCGACAAAGCAGAGAGTTTCGATCACAGTTACAAAGGCGTCTTCGAAAAAATTTTAGCAAGACTTAACAGAATTGAGGAAAGGTATATGGGAGCTGGAGGCCCCAACCACTTCTAAGGGTGCCAAGAACATGCTTAATGAGAAAGGGGCTCATACAGTGAGTTTTTGGTCCAGCAAGACAAAGCTCTCTCTAACAGCACAGACATTAATACAATAGATAATAAGATAGCAAATAAGGTTTGGTTAAGAGTAGCATATCATAATATTAATAGTATAAGAGAAAACAAGATTAAACTAAAGACAATATTTGAGTGGGCAAATAATGAAGAGATAGAACTTTTAGGTTTGGTAGAAACTAATGCAAATAAGAAAGATCTTAGATTTAGCTTAGAAGAGATTAATATGAGAAGCTTTTGGTTACAAGATAAAATTTCAAAGCATAAAGGTTCTGGTGTTGAGCTATTAGTGAGTCCAAGTTGAGAAAAATATTTAGATCAAGTCACAAGGTTTATAGAGTATTTAGTAGAAGCATGTTTTTATTTCAAACAAGTAGTAGTAGTCATTTTAGTAGTTTATCTTCCGCCAAACGACAAAGACATAGTTAAAAGAATTCAACAAAAGATTATAATAAATTTTATGGAGAGAACAAACAAGATGCAGTTTGTTATAATGGGTGATTTTAATCATATTGTTAATAGAGAATTAGATAAATCTAGTTTGGGGAATGCAGCAAGCTTTAAAGTATTACTACTCCATAAATGGTTTCAAAATCAGAGTTTTGTTGACATGTTTAGAGCAAGTAATCCAGATACTAAGAAGTTCACATGGTCTGGACAGAGAGTTGAAACAAGAATCGATCAAATTTGGGTGTCTGAAGATCTTCGTTATGGTGTTCGAGAGGCTAATATTTGTGAAGCAGATATTATAACAGCAAGCGATCATGCAATAATAACTGCATATATCTTACTCAAACACTTAATCAGAACTCATAGTAAGGCAAGTGAGAAGAAAAGAGGAATCTCTAGAATGGTTTATTTATATGATGAAGCAACAAAAGATGATTGGAAGAGCTATCAAGAAGATCTCGAAAGATTCATTATAGATAATCAGGTACTTGCCAAGTGTTGGATCCTAGCTACATGTAATAAGCTCAATATAATATGGGACATTATATCTAGTGCAATAAGGTGTGCTGCGAATAAGAACATCCCAAAGAAGAAGATACCTGGGGGTATATATGTGAGAAGAACTACAAAAAAAGTCACATTATTGTACAAGAATATAGTTAAATTAAGTAAAATTATTCAATAAGCAAGGAAACAGCAGTGTGTGATGATGTTGAATTAGATTTAGCCTTAGCCAGTGAAGATATTAAGAGAATTAATATTGAGTACCAGGCAAATATACCAGATTTAGAAAATATTGTAAATAAAGGTGATGCACTGCTAGAGTAGTCTGCTCGTGCAAAAGAGTGTTGGAAAGTGATGCGAGTACAAGAGAAAGTGGCAGAAGAGAAGACTACATATAAGAGAATCAATGTAGCAGTAGCTCGTAGATATAAAAAAATTGATGATGAAGTTGGAGCAATGTTAGCAAGTATCCTTGACAAACCTTTTAGAAAGATAAAACTTGACTGTGTTCTAGAAAAAAGATAGTAATGTATGGACCTTGTACAATAAGTTGAGTAATGTTCTGTCTAAAACAGCAGCACATTTTCAAAGTCAATTTAAAGAAAGGAAGATACTTAATGACCAAAGTGTGACTAATAAATTTTATAAACCACTTGAGGAGGTGAATAAAGAGTGGTACTTAGATTTAGACAATGAAGTTACACAAGAAGAATGGTTGGAGGTGATTGGAAAAACAAAAAACAAAACAGCACCTGGAGTTTCAGGAATTGGGTATTTGCTAATTAAGAATGCAGGTATAGAGGTACAAAAGATCTTTAGAAAGTTCGCAAGCTTGTGTTTAGCAAGCAATAACATCCCAAATAAATGGAAGCTTGTACAAGTATACCCAATTCCAAAAAGTAAAGACTGGGGTTTCTAGTTACAGAATATTAGACTAATAGCATTGTTGGAAACTTTTAGAAAGTGTATTACTTGGCTATTAATCAAAAGAATCTCTAAAGTACTTGTGAAACACGAAGTTCTACATAGGCCAAATTATGCAGGTTTGCCAGGTTGCTCAACAGAAAGTGCAATCAACCTAGTCAAAATGATAGTGGAGGATGTGCATGAGAGCAAAAAAGAGTTGTGGTTAATGCTCCAAGACATAAAGAAGGCATACGACTCTGTTTTAATAAAGACACTTTGTGCTGCGCTTCAAAGAATAAAGCTGCTACTGAAAATAATTGACTTCATTGTAGAGTTATTTAACAAGAGAAAAGTTAAAATAATTACTGATTTTGGGCTAACTGATGATTTCGAAGCAGGTGATGGAATTGAGCAAGGAGAGACAATATCTCTATTAGTGTGGTAGATTTTCTATAATTCTTTATTAAGGAAAATCCAGAATAATAAAAAGCTTGGTTACATAGTAGAGACAGATAAAATAGTTGATTTACAGTTAAATACAACAAGAAAAGAATCAGTAAGGCAGGCAGCAGTAGCTTTTGCTGATAACACTACATGGATAGCAAGAAGCAAAAGTCAAGTTAAACAGATAGTTCAGATAGCACAACATTTCTTTAAGTTTAACGATATACAAATAAATGGAGCAAAATCAAAGCTTTTGGTCTATAATACCAACTTGGACAAAACGAAAAATGGGTTGAAGTAGACGGTCATAGAGTCCAAGCTGAAAAGAAAAAATCATTAACATAGTTGCTTGGAGTTTGGATAAGTATAAAATCAAATAAGAGCCTAGTAGTTCAGAAAGCAAGGAGTATTGTTAGGCAGTTTGTAAAAACATTGCGTTTTAAGAGTTTATCAATTAGTCAGTTAATTTATGTAAACAATATGTGTATTGTGCCAAAGTTAGTATACATATTACAATCAACCAAAATATCAAAGACAAGTATTGATAGGATTTATCAACTGATAACACGAATTATCAAAAACAAAATTGGACTTTCAGCAATAGCAGTCAACTATGTAGTGGCACATCAAGGGCTTGTTAGATGCAGAACTCTCAATCAAGAAATCTTTAGTAAACAATTAGTTAGTCTGCAAAATAGATTAAATAGTCATGATCAAATAGGCAATTTAACATGAATAAGGTTAAATGAGGGGTTTGCATTAGCAGGTCTCGTTAAAGAGACTTGGCACATATCACAGAAGTTGATGTTGAGAAAGATATGGAAGAATAACCTAGCAGGCCTAGTTCTATTAAAGGCAAGCGACTTGGGAATCTCGGTTAGTGCAAACACAGAGAAGTGGCAAGTGTTTGGAACAGGCCCTACGATCTTAGAAGTTTTAGAAGAGGAATTTTTCAGCAAACACTATAATGCTATAAGAAGATTTAACTTGTTCTACATCAATCAGCTAATTAATGAAGCCGGTACCAAGATAATAACTTGGAGCAAGTTTCGGGCCTTGCAAGCTAATTCACTTAAAGGATGAAAAGCAAAGTGGTTTGGAGCTATCGAGAACAAGATTATTAGCATTAAGCCAAGCAAAGGAGTAGTAAATGCATACAAGATGCCAGTAAGAAACACATTGTGTTTGCAGATTAGTGCAAAAAAGGTATCAAGTGACAAGAGACGTTGAGAATGAGTAATAGTAAATAAGGAAAACACAGAGTCAATAGTAGGTAGAGTTAAGAAGATGATGAAAACTCATTTTTTAGTTGATCACTAGAAATACACACCAACAAGTGATAGTAGTAACATATTGTCAGAATGTAATAAATGCAGCTTCAATCAAGGAACTGAAGTTGATATATGCCGGCAAAAGGTTATTAAGAGAGAAGTACTAGGACAATTTTTAAGTTAGGTATAAATAAAAGTAAAAGAATACTAGTGTTAATAAATG